TTGCGGCTGGAACCCATCGCAGTGCAGCAGCTATGGAAACACAAGCATCACCTCTTCTCCACCTTTTTTTTTTTTGTAATAGGGAAATTTTTTATTCTTTAAGTCACTGCAATTACATATTCAGAAACAGAATTACGAAAGCCAGGCAGGTGCAGGTAAGGTATCAGGATACAAGCAGTACAGCTGTAAATATATGTTTGTCTTCAATGCCAGAAGACAATCATTCTACCAGTGAAGCTGGGTCATACAACCAAATATGAGAAAGCTTCCTACACTGCCAATCTACTGCACATGAACACACATCATTTTACAGCAAACACCATTTTCAAACTTAGCAACATGCATTCACCTTCAATTTCTTCTTCTAGTAAGTTTCTGATCCTTTTTGTAAAAAAGAGAATATTCATGTGGATTCCCACAGGTATCCCATCTTCAGTAATTTCTTAGCCTCCTCAACACCACCTACCAGTAAAATCAATCAGCCGTAATGTTTTGTTTTCACAGAAAGGAAAAAGAATTCCATTTATTTTCTTAAGGCTGCTAGAGTTACAACCATCAGAAGTGAAGAATTCCTTCTCTCGTAAGAAAAACTCCACTACCTGCTATATAAAACAACAGCTTTGCAATCAGGAACCCGTTTACTGAAGCTTACTTCACATACATCTGTGCTCCTGCTCCAAAGCAGCTGACTGAGTATCAGAGGAACTCAGATACAGCACAACTTTCAAACATACTTCCAGTGTTATTGGGCCTTTTCAATCTGCATACATCATCTTTCATCTTAGAATTTTCTGGAGTACTGAGCAACTGCTACAGCAGCTAAAAGGCTCAGAAAAATACACGACATCCGTACCAACAGCTGGAAGGAGTGCGGATCCAAGCACAGCCATACGTCTCAGCAGCAGCTTCCTGCAGCTCCTGCTCCACGGCCTGAGGCGAGCGCCGGGTGCTGGATGGCTCAGGGTCTGCGCGCTCTGCCGCCAGCCGCTGGGCTCCGACAGCTTCTGCTTTAGCGCCTTTTGTTGCGCAGATTCTCTCAAAGCCCATTCACATCATGCATTCAGTACTTGCCGACTGTGTCACGATCTTGCAATTACGAGGACAAATAGTATAATTTTTCATAACAGAGCTCAACAGATTACTGGTGTAGAGGGAGCTGAGCCTGAATTCAAAACCCAACATCTCAGGACAGGCAATAGCCGAATGCAATTCTGAGCCGCCTCCAAGTCCCCCTCCCGCTCTGCTGCCTTGAACCGGTGCAAGCGCGGTTCCTCCCTCGGTCTCACCAGTTCTGGTCTCTGAAGGCTGCACCGACCTCCGGGGCCTCAAAGGGCTTCACCCACAGAGTCAGAGCGCACGGCCACGTGCCGCAGCCTCACTCCCGCTTTGTCCCACGTTTCCGTGCCAAGGATCGCAGCCCCATCTGCTTCTAAGTTACGAGAGACCCGCACCAAAAGTCACCTTACCTCTACGCTTCCTACTTCAGCGTGCTGCTTCTGCAAAATCGTTTCCACGATTTCGCAAACCGCCTCCTGCTCCTTTGTAATACTTGTTCCCATCATTCCCCATTGCTCACCTTTGTCCTGCAGAAATGATTGTGGCCGTGCAGCCTAGTCCTGCTTCCTTTCAGCAGTTTTTTGAGTCCAGCTTCCTTTCAACGACCCTTGGGTCGTTTTTCCTTTCAGCAGCCCTAATTCCTTGCCACCGGTCAGCTTAATAGCAGGTGATCTCCCAAAGCTGATCCTGATACGGGGCCCCTGTTCGGGCACCATTGGTGGCAAGTGATGCACAGACTCCATTGCTGGTGCAGAACAAAGACCTTTAGCGTAGGTGCTTACCTTTTATATCCCCTGTGTAGTCAATGAATGCACAGATGCTATAGTTATGAGATATGCCAGAAAGCTTGGCTATGCAGTTATTATACCAAACAGAACAGATAGGATGCTTACCCGTGTCCTGGGCTTGCTATGAAACTCCAGAGGAGATCACCAGCAGAGATCCTTCCCCACTGGTAGTCAGCTCTTAAATGGGTCTGGGAGAGGTGCACCCCTTCCAGCAGCACAGGTGAATTGCTTTCACTGTGCTCCCATGGCTGACCCATGGCTTGCCTCAGGTGATCAATCAGAGGTTCAGGCCCTGATTCAGCAGTTCCCATCCCCCCCAACCACCTCTTGCTCACATGTACCAGCCAGGTGCTTCATGCGTGCTTACACCTGGTGCAAGTAGCTGCAGAGCTCATTTATTCATTAGCTCGGTCTTCTGTTCATCATGTCTTTGTTTGTCCCACACGGCTGCATCTGGAGAGAGAGCACGAGGCCATGGCATACACGCAGACCCTGCCCAGGCAGCTGCAGCAGTCTCTCCTGCCAGCTCTCTCTTACCTCCACCATTTCCATTTCTCAGGCAGGAGCCCTGTGGGGCAGAGATTGAGAGCTTAAAGCAGAGAGAAAAAAGCCTTCTGGGACTCCTCTGCCCCACTGCCAGTTGTTCCAGGAAAAAAAACAACAACAACAACAACAACAACAGTTCCAGAAATAAGTGGACCTGAAACCTCATTTACCACATTCTCGCCACAGTTCTGGGACTGTTTCAAGACCCAAGTGGATGCCTACCTGTGCGACCTACTATAGAGAACCTGCTTTAGCAGAGGGGATGGGCTTGTTCTCTTGAGGTCCCCTTCCTAAGAGGTCCCCTTCCTAACCCCTGCAATTCTGTGATTTTGTGACATGTGAAAAAGATAAAAATCTTCAAAGCTATTTGAGACTTGGGGAGTGAAAGAACTGCCTACAAGATTTCTAAACGAGTCTTGCAAACTGTTTCTACATGAAGAGCAGCGTTCAGCACTTTGTCTTTTTGAGAGGCAAGAATGAGAGGGAGTAAAAGTGCCGTGAGAAATTTGGGATGCAGACCTGTGGGTTAGATCTGTGAAGATGCGCGTTGCCTTCAGTGCTGGGAACTGCACTGGTGCTGGCACTGAGACGTGGTGGAGCACAGAGCAGCTTCAAGCACGCAGCCACACTCCCATAGCAGTGCCTGCCATCAGTCACTTTGTCTTCAGTGGTTTGCACTGAGCGCTGCACACTGCGGTTCTCTCCTGAAAAAGCTGGCCAGTTCTTTGCGTCCATGAAACGCCCCCCATTTTGGGTAGTTCCTGAAGAACCAAGTAAAATATATTACGACTACATAATTTGCTGCAACTTAGGTCCACTTATGAACTCCCTTTGAAAGCCTGCTGTTTCTAGAAGAACACCAATCCAATCTGGTTCAGGAAATTTCGTGGTCAAGGCATGAGCACAGTTTTGCAGGCTACAACTTGTTGGGCATGCAGTTTTTCGCTGTCAGGAAAGAACGGAATGCTAGGTTCTCCTGACCAATGCCTCTATCAAGATAACCGCAGTGGAGGGGAGAACAGCAGGCAGGAATATGCACATATTGCTGCTAAGAAAGCTACTACTTGCTGTATCAGTCATGATTCAGAATGCCTGAAAACATCTGCTGAAACTACTTGTCAGTCTATGATACGTGTCTTGTCATCAGACTGTTTATTTTCATGAAATATATTACCTTTTGTTAACTGGATCCAGAACTCAGTAAACCACTGCTAGTTTTTTATAGTCAGAAGAGTGACTACATGAATAGAGTCTGGACACAAAACTGAAATGAGCATCTGGCACAATATCAAGCACATGATGTTCTGTTGACTTCTACCTCTAAGGATCTGAACAGCTATTTGTCGTCTGACAGCCCTGACAACTCACATCAGCACCTGAAAACAGAGGGAGCTCGCACATATTCCACATGGGAAAACTGCACAAAAGCTTTCTAAGTGAACAACTACTCTGTTCTGACAAAAGTTTAAGCAGGACTCTTACATACCGTAGGCTAAGATTCAGAAAACCCAGTCTACACTTTGCCTAGGTCTGGTTTTCATCCCATATCACCTTGAATAAGTCATCATTAAGAGTTAGGTCTGAGTTTCTCAGAACCCACAGTTTTTAGTCTTGAGTAACACACACACACACACACACACACACACACAAAAAGACACTTTCACATCATTTCTTAAAACACCTGAAATACTTCATTTTTCTGGGGTTCAAATATAATTTTCTGTGTTTCAGAAGTCATGGTAAAGAAAAAGGGTTGACTCCTAGTAAAATCCTCTACAAACTGAACTAACATCTCAGATTCTGCAATAAATACAGTCTGCCATTCTACATGTAGCAGATAAAATACCTGTTTTTACCACTGCTTTAAGCTGTTAAATGGGTTTGGAGTGTTTGAATTTCCGAGTTTGCATAAAGTGAAGCCTCTCAGATGAAAAGCCAGGTGAATGGGATGTCAAGTCATACAAAAAAGCTTCAAGACAAAGAGAAACAATACCATAGCATGACACTGCTGAACAAGGCATCGGAGGAACTTTCCACATAGCTGAACATGCCATCACGAAAATTTTGAGAAATCTATGGGCTGGGTGAGGGACTTCAGAGTGTGGAAACAAGATAGGAAGCTGGGGAATTCTCCAAGCATAAAAGCACCACAAAATGGTTGCAGAATACACCGCAGGGATAATCGAGATAGCGCAGTGTACATCCAGGGCACACGGTGTGCGTGCAGCCCATCACCCACAGCCCCATGCAGTCCATGTTAACGGGCAAAACGAGGTGTTAACAACTGGGGCTGATCTATTTCAATACTACCTCGTCCCATCTTCCTCCCTCCCAGCATGCGCCCCGTGGCCCCAAACAGCCCACATCCCACACTCCTCTCCAGGACATCCCTTAGCACTGCTCTCCTGCCCCAAACCCTTCACAGTGAGACCATCCCACAGCTCCCCCCAGTGCTACTCTGACTTTAAAGAGAAGGCTGGCTCACGACACACCAGCAATGCAGCTGCTGAACCATGCTTCCTGTGCACATAGTCTATCCAGCACCGCCACGCTGCACCCAGGGCCTAACGGCACAGTCAGGGCTACTTCCAGTCAAGGTCACACACAGCATCCGTGGGCACAAATGGCTTTTTACTTATATGTGAGTTACAGAGGCAAACTTTACTAACAAGGAAAGACATGCCTTCTACTTATAGCTGCTCCAATTGTAAATACAGTGGTGTACAGGAAATAAGCAAAGCTAAGTCACCAATAAATTATAGAATACATATAATTCACTGCTGAGATTGTGTCTTTATTAACAGTTTTTCCCTAAAAAAAAAAAAAAAAAAAAAAAAAAAAGCTCTGTCTCTGAACAAACTCCTCCTTCAGTTAATTCTCTTGTTTTTTGTTTGTTTTCAATTTTTGTCAAAATTTTTTGTCATTAAGCATAGGTAACAAGACAAGTATTGTAAATCACCTGGTAAGGATATTTTCCTTGATCAGTGTACAATCACCGCTAACACCTCACTGCATTTTCCCTGATCCCACCTGGGTTGTGGTTTAAAGACTGCCAGACGCTGAAAAATATTAAAAGCTTTCAATTAAAAAAAAATTAAAAGGGAGAGAGGGGATTCATCTCTGTAGCTCAAGAGCCTGCAGAGTACAGCTGCATTTTGTTAACAATATTTAAGAATTTTCTACCGTTATTCTCATCACCCCCAAATCAAAGTAATACAATTCTCAAGTCCCTCTATGATACAGCAAATTCGCATGCAGCTAGATAGAACTAAAAAAAAAATCAAGGCAAGATCTTTAACTCATTACACATCACTTCTTCAGATATTAGTGAAAATCTAGTTCTGAGGTCACTCTCTTTCAGATGACCTACACTGCAAATATCTTTTTTGGTTGGTATGGTATGAAGAGGAATTTCTGTTAATGCATTGTGCTGGACAAACATTAAAATATTATTTGATTGGCATGCACCAACATTAAAATATCTTGTTATAAAATACAGAAATATCTTATCAGGTGATGCTGTAATGTTGGTGCATGCCAGTAACAAGCGTTTCATGCAGACCAGACACCAGCAGATACTTGCTGAAGGACTACGGAAAACTTATCTCAAGGATGCACCCAACTCCAATTCTGTGAGTGGCTCTCATTAGCAAAAAATCTATGCCAATGGAGCAATACTGCGTGTGAGCTCAGAGAGATAAGGCAGTTCTACAACACAGTAATCTAAACAAAAAAAACCTGCAAAAATGACATCTGTAATTAGCAATGTTTCTCAAAAAAAAAAAAAAAAAAAAGAGGGGGCAGGGCAAAAAATTTTGGTGGGATTTATTAAAGAGTCTCTGCATTTTTACTGGATATAGCAGAACAGCAGCACAATCACCACAGTGAAAAATCCACTACAGACGAGGAAATGAGGGGGTTTGACAGAGCTAGAAAAATTGAACTTTTAAAAAAGCCAACCTATTTAAGATAATTGTCTTCTTTTGATAAGTCTGCAAGTAGAGCCTAACGTTATTGAATCTGGTAAAGATAAATGGAACATCGATCTAAAACTGGGGGGAAAAGAACTTAGTTTTACTCTTCAAAACCTTTGCAAGCAACACTAAAAGCTAACTTGCCAAGAATTTGTCTGTTTCACTCCCCATCCTTAAGCGTTAAATGGATACTGCAGTACCTCTACGCAAGAGGCCATCTGTAAATTATTACATCAAGTTGAACATAAACATCATAAAGGTACAAGAAAGCAGCTCCCTGCAGCGTCAGTCAGCACTGTCAATTCACAAGAAGTTCTTAGGCTTTAATTGTAACAGACTTGATATATTTCAGCAAGGCATGGGCACATAGTGATGCACAGCAGAGTCATTAGAAGTCACATACGCAAGGCTTCTATTCATCTCCCCTCTCACAGATTTGCCAGCAAAGGTCAGTTACTTCCCATAAAACTTCTTGTTCAGAAGGAAGATCAGAAGATTAACGTTTACTTTTGCTCGGTCAAATAACTTCATAACTGCAACACCTTCATACTGCAGCTGCAAAAGATCCTACCAAAGAGAAAACAGTTATGAGTGAGGAATCTTCAACAGTGCATACAAACTTATACAAGACATTGTGATAAGGTGGGGTTTTGTGGAATATCTATCACAAAATACATAGCATAAGCTAGAAAAATGAGAGGGTTAAGGATCCACTCACAGCACAGGAACAAATAAGCTGCACTAAGACTTCTCAGATGTTTGTCTTAATCTCTGGTTTAAAAGAATTACAAAAATCATAAATATAAAGTCAAATTTCAGCTCTAGACCATACCAGGCTTTTCATTCACATAACAGATGTAAAGCTGTAATGTTCAGTACCTCTCTCCCGTTTGCCTAATCTTATTGCGTAAGCAATACAACATTCCACAGCACGACTCTCTAAAAATCTCATCTGTCATAGAGGAGACAGAGGCGGTTTAGAACAATACAATGTATGTCACAGAAAGAAACAACTTCTCCATTAGGACTAATTACATTATGCCAATTCAGTTTCCCCTGTATTCACATAGGCACTGGCTCCAGTTACAATTTCTTCTCATCAGTGACGCACCCGACAAAGCTGTACGACTCCCTGCACCGATTCATCTCAGCAACAATTCCTTCCCACAGTCTCCTCTCTAGAACAGTGCATCTTGGAGAAAGCATTCATGTAGTGCTACTGCAAGGAATACCGCATGTATTCCAAATGGTGAATCTTGCTCCTGGCACCAGAACGAACACCAAACAGCTGTTTCTATAGTCTTCTATAAAAACTCTGGCAATGTGAGACTTTTTAACTGAAGCCATTGCCAACGCTACACTTGGATGAGCAGTGGCAGTTTATTCAGAGTGGTTCTACCACACGTGCTTGAGAACCAAGTGACCTCGAGTAGCCACACCAAGAAGTCTGCGACCAGCTCCAACAGATCAGCACTGGAATGAACTACAGCAGCTCCCAGAGCAGATGGGACATGTAAGGCAGCTATCACTCCTAGCAGTCACTCAGGGACTGCAATCAGACATATCTCTGTGCAGAGTGCTCCTGTATGCAGTGTGTTCCAATATGCCTGGGACATCCGCTGTTACCATACCTAGCAATACTTGGCGACCAAGTTTTGGTAGACACACATGGACAGAGCTGCCAGGCATAACAGCAGTGGTATGGGAAGAAGAATGGGGACCATTTGGGAAAGCTGGCCTGTAAGTCTGTTCCAACAGACTCACACAAGTAGGGTGCATACTTATGTAAGTGTAACTAAGACACAGACTGACAAAAAGCTTTCATTAGTAAAGAAACAAATTAGCCTCAGTCCCCCGTTGGCACTGTATGTTTTGTCTGCAACAAATTTCCTGCTGTCACAATAGCTGCTCACAGAACCCCAGCACGGGCTGATGTTGGAAGGGACTCCAACAGCTGCCAGCTTCCCGGGGCCCTGTTCAGCCTGGCCTTGGGCACCTCCAGGGATGGGGCACCCACTGTTCTCAGAGCAGCCTGTGCCAGGGCCTCACTGCCCCAAGGTCAACATTTTCCTCCTCATACTTAATCTAAGTCTGCCTTCTATTCGTTTAAAGATGCTCCCTTGTTTTCACACTGTTCAGGCAAAAAACGTGTAATTAGTATTTTGATAAAAGGTCTGGCAAGCAGAAGAGATATTTGCTATTCATATACATCCCATGAAACTCATATGCCGTGGCTGTCATTATTAAATAGGATTGTTCTTACCTGATAATGTAACATAAAGGTTTCCATCTGTACCCCCATGAATTTTGCTTTTACCTCAAAATCTCCTACTTCTTCTGTTGGACTGATTTCAAATATTACATTTTTAAATCTGTAAATTTAAGAAATTGAAAACCACATATGAAAACCATAATTGAACATGCACTTCCTAATGACAGGGAAAGGACACATCAGATGAAAGCTGAAGATAAATGTCTAATCCTACTCCTAAATTCTATATTCTCATTCGGAATGAGACTCAGTAGAAAAATGAATAGTAGGCTACAACAATGTAGCCTAATGTTGTACAGCTGCTAGGTTGCACCTTCCTACAAGCACAGTAAGCACACACAGCACTCCAGCCCACGTGGATCAGCAGCCCACCTCTGCTCCTAGACATCCTCACTGCACTGAGTGCAAAGCACAACGCCGATAAAAATTCCAGCAGCAAGCAGCTTCTGTCTATAGTGCGAAAGAGACATCAGTTACTCAAGGCCAGCAAGAGGCAGCTGAGCAAGCTCAGGTCAGCCTTGAAAGTTCACTAGTCACAGTAGCAAGGCACTCAAGGAGGAATGCTTCCGTGACAGGGCTGTGGGGGAACAGGGAGAAAGAGGGCGTCATTCCTAAAGCACATGGAACTTATCTACCAGAGATCTGCTCCCATTTCACCAGAAATAGACAATAGCACGTCAGCAGTTTGTGAAGTCTCTCAGCTCCTGCCAGCCCAAGTAGTCAAAAGCAGTGTGCAACATTTCCCTCTTTCTCTAGGAAAGCTACTTAGCTCTAATGAGTTTTTAAGGAACACTCACTGGTTAACTTGCAGGTCCTCAATCTCTAAAAGCACTCCCTTCTCATGAAGCCGAGCTGCAGTGTATTTTAGAGAAATCTTTTTACTGTTTTTGCCTTTTATCTCTCGAGGCTTCTTAGAGACTCTGGAAGGAAGAAGGGGTTAAAAGAACACAACAGAGAGCAAACAAAATGCAATAAACAGTTTATACTAGGGGGATGCGTGGCTAGAACCAGAATAGATGGTTCAACTAACAGAGCTGATATATTTCACTACCAAGTTTATCTGCACAGCACTGGTAGCTCAGGTCAGATCTCTGACTTCCTACTATTTACCAGTAACTCATACAACAGAAGCAGAATAGAAACAACAGCACTTCATAAAAAACACCACTACTTATACAGCTAGGCAAAAGTTCTTATGGTTAACAAGTTGTTTCCACCGGCGCTCTGAAAACAGACCCGTAAGAGCCACTGTGACACTTAACAAAATTTTAAAAAGCCACCGATTATTTAGATGCCCCAAAATTACACACATCAGGTCTATTTGTGTACAGCCCGTTGCCCTGGTAGATCTGGACTTCCTCATCTCTGCACACTCAGTGCACTGATCACCTGTCCAAGGACATGCCAGTGCAGCTCCCCTGCTTGCCCTGTCTGACCAATTGCTACCCTGCTGCCCACCCCACAGCGCTGCAGCAGAGTTCAATCCTGTGCGCCTGCTTGAGAAAGCAGAGACCAGGACTGCCTCACGCATCAGACTCTGCTCCAAACCACAATCTCTGACACCAGCCGTTTCAGGCTTCATGCCTACTCCATTTCCCTTTCCCACATTGGTGCTCCGCTCTTTCCAACAGCATGCCACACGCATGCAAACCCAACTCTGGCATTTCTCCAGAGCAGACAGGTATTTTCCACACTGTGTTCAGATTAAAAAAGAAACAGGGAAAACAAACCCAGTTACGTTGAAACATTTTCTAAGGCTGCTGAGGACTATGCTGTGCTGCCTGCCAAAGGAAAGAGAAGAACCAAACTCAGGGTGGAAAGACATGGCTTTTCTTATAGGAAAACCTGAACTGCCTTCCACTGTACAAACTGCCTCTGGGACAAAGAGAGGACAAATCAGGATCAGTGCTGTCATTGTAAGTACAAAGGATGCTTCCATTCTCTACTGCAAGAAAGAATTATGGGAGGGACTAACTAAGCAGTGTGTCAATTACCTGAGCAACCCAACCATCACCTCTGGTCTTTCTCCATTCCTCTCTCTCCAAAGGACCAAAATTCCTTTGACTATGTCTCTCTGACCCCATTCAGGGGTCTCACTCTCCCTTAGCTTTGCGCAGATGGTATTACAATTTTTTCTTAGCAGTGACCTACGCATTTTTTTCTGAAACAAGCATAGAGTCACAGCACAGTTCAGAGATACTTACTTGCCCTTGCTGGCCAGGTTATCCAAGCAGGTTTTGATGTAGCTTTTGTAGTAATCAACTTGTTCCCCATAAAAGGTAGCTTTGGAGTTCAAGGCACTGTATGTCTGCTGCAGCTTCACCAGCTCTGCCTTTCTTCTCTGACGGTATCTGCGCTGATTTCGGATATCCTACAGCACAGTGTGAAACACGCAGAGACCCACTGGTTATGGAAGAGCTCTGGCGGCTCAAGCTCAGAGTGCAGAGACAGGCTGAGAAGCACTGCTCAATTCTGATTAGCCTTGCTTCAGGCAACAAGCTGTATTAGGACTCCTCAGTCACACCTGCCCCAGTTTAAGTGTCATCATTTCTTTGTTGACTGTTTTTGGACCTAACCAGCTCCACACAGCAGTTCTTTTAAACATTCTGCTGCTTTCTCAATCTTCAGTGCTGTCATAATTGCAGTGACTAGTGTATGTGATTTAAGGAAGACAGCAATTTTTGCTTTCACTGGGTAGCAGGAGTACATTAAAAATCAAGAGCTACAACCACAAAAATGCATAAATGTGACAGCCTGTCTTTGCTAGTCAGCCATTTTTAAACATGCTATATTAATAACTGAACAAAAAATACAATAAGTTCAAGTCATTTTCATTTCTGATATTTATTAATGACCGAATGATCAGTTTTAACCTCACTTCTGAAAGGGGTAATTCATTCACTTCATACACATCATCTTTTCCCATGTATTACGTTGGCAAATGTATGACATGCTGTGCTGATAACGCGTTTCAATGTGCAATGGCGTTATTTCACTTGCCTAAGTTTTTCTTAGGTCCTCCCTAAAGTGTTTCAGTTCTTGAATCAGTGAGTGTATTCAAATAAAAAAAGGCTTCATTTTTCTTGAAGTTATGGACAAAACTTCCATGTGGCAGTGTGTTTGTAAAGGCACTATTTACACCAGGAAAAGGACTAGGAGAAGAGATCACACACCAGGGATTTCCTCCAATGTCTGATACGTAAGGTGCCTGAGATTCTGGCAACAGAATTATTTGTGAAAACACAAACTTCCAATAAAAGCAAGAGACTTGGCAAATGCAAAGATGTAGAAGCAAATTATCTACTTCAGATCTCTAACTACTGCAAAACTTACTCCTGAAAACTCACACCAGCTTCACAACACTGCAAGCCATAAAAAAAACCAAACTCCTTCTCTGTAATTACTAGAAAAACCACTAACTGGCATACCTTTGCAATATCATTGATTAGCTCCTGGTATTTATTTTTTGCATTCACTATCCCTAGTTCTGTCAGCTTCTTCAGGCCTGTCTTGATTTTCTCTTTTTTACCCTGAAGATTTAAGTTGCCATCTTCCTTTACAGACACAGATTTTTTCATCTTATCAGGAGTTTTAGCATCACGAATGGCCCGTTTCTGCATAGCTCTTTGATGCTCTGCTTCCTAGAAAAAGACAACAAGAAAGTTACAAGTTCATAAACTTATTATTTTTAAGGTGATAAAGAACTAGAAGATCATCTGACCCCAGCATAACAGGAACAGAATTTTTGTTCAGTCATTCCAGAACTGACTTATGATACACTGGATGAAAACTGGCAGAACTGTCCTGCCAATACAGGAACTGGCAGACACCAACCTACTGTTCAAAACAGTCTTCTGAATAAGTATTTTCTAATAGCTATCAAAGAGCTAGACTCACACGCACTCTTTATTTCCATTATATCCCCTCATCATCTGTGCTACATGCAGCTCCAAAACCAGTGCAGACAGCTTCACTATGCTATAATAATGCAGATTCCCAACAATACCCACATGCATCTAGATAAACAACAAATTCTCAGTCTAAAAAGAACACAGGGAAAAAATTCTTCATACTTGCTCAGAAGTAGCTGAAGTGTCCAAGATTTCAGTCAGCGTCTCCCCAGGTTGGAAGCGGATCACATCAACAATTAAGCGTTTGGTGCTGCAGAGAAACCATGGAGAATAGGAGGTAAAAATTTAAGCCAAGAGACCTTCAATATTGCTATTCTGCAATAAGAGCAGCGTTACTGATTTTAGCTGAGACCAGAACTCTGAGAACCAATTTACTTTGTTTGACACCCTTGTATCAGAAACCGATTCCCCAGAAGACACATCTGTACAGCGCACAGCATGGCTCCTTAACACCTTCTCAAAAAGCTGGAACTTCCCCCCATGCGTATTAAGGCCGTCTCAGTACTGCCACCTGGACCACAGACGCTGCACATTTTGAGGTCAAAGACAAAGCAGTTAGCAGCAACAGCAATTTCACACAGCCAGAAAAAGTCCAATGTTCTCCATTCAAAGTGCACTTCAATGCTTTCTAACAGGGGTTAAGAAATAAACAAATGAAGTGGACCACTTTCTTACATATACACTAACTCAGCCAAAGGAGGCATCTGCTTCCAATCCAGTGACAAATAGGGTCATTCTTTGATCTCAGAATCAAGATCTGTAGCTTAACTGCATAGTCAGTGTTCAGTTTGAAGCAAGTGGGGCCCTGAGCCAAATGACACCAAAGGGTGCCTTCAGTACTTTGCAATCAAGCTAGAATTACTTCTGGCACAAGAAATTGCATCAACACCCTGCTGACCATCCACATCTTAGGTGATTTCAGGTACATCTGGTAAATGCTTCCGAGATCAGTGTCACCTTCCGCAGGGTAGGGCAATCCTGGCATATATTTCAAGCAACTCAGTGTAAGAATATTTTTAGATATCCCACTTTCTTCTGAGAGGTCATTGCTCCATCGTGGCCAAGCATAAGCTGACCTCATGAACTCTCAGCTATGCCATCTGGCATCAGAGCAAGAGTGCATCAGAGCACACAACATCAGGTAGCTGCTCTCTGCAGCCCAGCAAGAGGGACTTGCTGACAAGTGGCCAACAGGCAGTGTTGGCACCGAGTTCTCCCAGACAAAGAGAGTCTGACAACAACCAAGTCACCGGCTGTCCATTGCACTCTTCACATCAGGCTTACACTGCTACCCAAAAAGCTGTTTATCTCAGTCAAGTGTGGGGGACAGAGAGTGCAGAGGGAACAGAAGTGCGTCGTGAACCAAGGCAAGGTGGGAACCAGGAGGTATTTCTCACAGCACGGAAAAAGCTACAGGCAGAACACCATAAATTACCATCACTGCCTCCTGCTCCACTAACAGGATACAGACACATTCTGCTCATAGGCTAAATAAATCAGCTGGCCCTCTAAGAGCCAGCAGTTTTTAGCAGCACAGCATCCCTTACGCTAGACACTGTTACTCAGGGAATTTCCTCGTGTCGCACGTATTCTACTGAGAGTATTTGCACAGGGCATCATTTAGGCATCACAAATAGAACTACATCTTCATTTCACATCAACAGACTTCAGAGTTAAAACTACATTGTGATGAATGCCATGGGTTATTTAAAATAATCCCAACAAATCATCCATATGAAAGTAAGTTTAACTGCTGCCATCAGACCTGCTCACACTGGGAATATTTTCTTTTCTGGTAATTTTTCTCCTCCAGAATTATCACACATACACTTTCACAGAGTGACAAGTTCTTCACTGACAAAGAACTAGCAGGCACAAATTTAACAGCTACAGCATTGGAAAGAAATGGCTACAACCTCAATGCACTTTGAGTCACAGCACCACCTTTACTCAATTTAAACTTCAGTTCTCCTACTTGCACAAACAGAACAGCAAGAAAATCCAGGTTCTGGTCTCCCTCTTCTCTTAAGAAATACATCAGCTAGTTCATCTCTCACTTACTTCAGCAGAATTGTCCTAGCATCCATCTCCGCATTTTCATCTCCAGGAACATCAAATTTATTAGTGAGCGTGAGAGAAACCTCTGTCTTTGCCAGCATCTCCCTGTTTGGGTCATTAATGTTGCCAGACCCTTCGCCTGTCAAGTAGAAAACGATTTTATATATTAGGGTAAAACATGCCAGCAATCATTCCTTTAAAAAGTTCTTACTTTCCTTGAGGAGCAACACCCAGGGAACTATTTTGATGTCCAAGCATCCTCCCGAAAACTGTGTCCTTCCATCCATCCCCCAAGACCTGCAGACTAGATTTCATGCTTGCAACAGCAGGAATACAGAAACCAGAGAGAGAGACTGGTGCAACTTCTTCATTTTGTATACGGTGAGGGACTAAACTTTGACTCAGATCCCGTTCCTAGAAAACTGCCATGATAAGTAACGGAGAAGTTAGATCCTGCCTCCCTCCAACTCAAAGGTTTTTTCTCCTGCCCCTATTGTTCCTTTATCAGACATTCACTGATGGGTGCACCCAAAAGGAGGAAAAAAAGTTAATTGTCCACATGCCAAAAATTGCACTTCTCCTGCATGATGCATGTAACCTCATATATTTACTACTGAACTCCTAAGGAGCACAGATCTCAAGACAGTGGACAGACCTTTGCAAATATGCCAGGATGCACAAAGCAACAGCTCCGACACAAGGGAACAAAGAACACATTGCACAGTCTCTGTTCATCTCCTAGAAACTGGTGTGACACAATGTGTTTGGAGACAAGAGAGAAGCCAGGTGTATTTTTTTCCACAGGATAACAAGTTCTGAGAATAACTTTATTCTCAGAAGAATAAACTGGAATAAGTACACTGCTTTTTTAGACCACCAACTTCCAAACGGCCGCTGATTATTCCTTTGATAGTTTCTTCACTACACTTCAAATCATCTAAAGTAATACTACATAATTCTGCAGTAAAACAGATCACCTATTAAGGACTCAATTGAAGGAACTTCTCCAAGGTCATCCAGCAATTCATGAATTGGATCATTATGCTCAGGAGCAATTGCATCTTGATGGTCTAAGAGCAGCTAAACGAACAGAAGAATAAATTGCGTTGTTAATCATACATCTCTACACATTGAAATTATATTCCTTTGTGCTAGTATCTTTTAGAAAAAAATCTTCACTGAACTCTAAAGCTGCAATATCACGGCTGAAAGTCGCACCATCTGCATATACTCAGACACTTCCAAAATAAGCTTAAAACACCAGCAACTTGCTAAGTTCTAAACGCTTACAAACCCTCGAGCTCTACAGTCAAATGAAATCACTTTCAGATTTGGCTACTTGAGGTTTCAACAGCAGCAGCATTTTCTGTGTAAGAACTGCTTAAGAAGGAGCAGCTGTGACTGACGTATACTTACAGTGTGTGTATTGATGATTTCACCAATAGAAATATAAATAACTGGTTTAGTGAGAGTCACCAAGTCAGAATATTCATCAATATTGAATTTATCCTGCAATTCAGGAACCTCACAAGCAACCTGAAAAAAGCGTCTTAAAAAAAAAAAAAGAAAAAGAAGAAAAAGGTAATCAGCATACCAGCAGCTGCTCTTCTTTAAACCACGGTTCCCAAGCATACTACAGCTGGACAAGCTATAGCTTATCACATCAAAAGCTATCTAGAAGGTTCAGTTATTGGTACTGGCCATATCGGCATTCGCTCACTGTAAGCATCTGCAGGACAAGTCCATGGACCGAATGACCTTGTGCAGCCATCCTTCTGTCTCAGCTGCAAGAATAACCCTCACTCCCAGCCATTTCCAGTTTTCTTTCTTACAAAAGATGAAAGATATAAAGAAGCTCTTCATTCAAGAGTTATCTTCTTATACAAACAACTAAATTCCAGCCTGTTTTAATCCAAAGTGCCATCTAGTTTGCATACAGAGAACTAGGGTTCATACGGGAAAGAATGCATGCACACTCTAGTTTTCAATGGCCAGAATATCATAATAAATACATAGAAAAACAGCCTTTACTCTGGAGGCTTCTATGGCAAAGCCAATTGTTTTGAGCAGCTCATTAATATACTATATCTAGTTTGTAAATTCCAGCTACGTATTTTATATGCCATCATTATCAATGATTATGGAAGCCCGAAGGGCAATCTCTCATTTTCAACAGACTTCCTATTTGACAGAGATGGAATTTATTACATTTAAAATTCATTGCTCCTTTTTGTTTGCAACACTGTCCTCTGACAAACTCCTCAACACAATCAGCTGAAGTCTTCTACCTGAATTTTTGGTATGACTGTGACAAGTATTCATTAATGATGCTCAGATGCGCATTGTCTCCCATGAACATCTTATTGGACGCAGCATGCTGCAGCATCTTTGCAATAGAACCAAGGTTTCTTCGTTGATCTGTAGTCAGCTGCCCTCCAGCTGAAAGATCAATTATGTCAAATGCATCCGGTGCAACAATGGCTGGATTCATGTAGCGGTAATAGAGTAAGTTGCCAACAATCTAGGAGAAATTGATGAGAGAAAAAAAACATGTGAAAAAGCAATGGCACAGACCTCCACTGAGTTTTACTGACACTACTCTGAGTGAGTTCTGACCAATTACTTCCTGTGAACTGTGGGCCCGATTCAAGATGCAGGGTCTACTGCGCTGCCATTAATAAGCACATGCTGTCCCAAAGAATCTTAGTTTCACACTGTAACATAGATACATACACTAAATAAATGCACAACTGTCAACATAGAAGTGGTAAGACTGACCACTGCTAGCTCCAGAACAACACAACTGCAGATATTCCTATACATAAAGATTTTCAAATTTAACTTTGAATACCACCTGTCTATATATTTCTAGAAGTTACCAAAGAATTCCTCATACAAGCGTAAAAGTTACTCTGAGAATTAAACCAAGCTCAGTCTAACAGAAGGCAGAACAACTACGCTACAGAGAAACCTGGTACTGCAGTCTCATTAAGGGATAGGAGCCAATTCCTAACACAGGTGTGCAGAATTGACCACCATCTCCAACAAAGCAAAAATGGTGAAGCGTGGCAAACGAAGGAGCTGAGCTGAGAAAACAGCAGCTACTTTCTGCCCCTTTTCCAGAGCACTTCTCTCTCTCTCTCAGAATACCTCTTTGATTAATCAGCAACATTTTTAGCTACAGATCCCCAATTAAACACAACTGAAAGGAACTCAGAAACATTTAATCCAGAAGTAAGAAACTCAGAAGTACCGAAGATGAGCGGTATTTGACATTTCAAAACAAGTCCAATTCACCAGCTAAGTGAGCAGCAATGAACGCCGAGGCCCCAAAGATAAAGACAGCCCGTTATCCACGTGCTCATCCATCTACTTCTAACCCGTATGGGACATTTGCCTGCAGTAATTCCCACAACAAAAAGGCATTGGCCCAGCACGCTGACATGCAGCAAAAGTTCCCACGCCACATGCTTCACTATTTCCTGGAGTTTCACATCAATCTGCGCAGAGCCAAGTCACAGAATCTGGGCTTCTCCTGCTTCACGTGCGATTTGAATGCACAGAAGAGATCAGAGGTGTGAAGAAATGGCAAAAACAGAAAGAAGAAGCTTCGCCATTGCTCAGCTGCCCCAGAAATTAACTGCTTTCAGAGAGGTCATGGTTTTGACAGCTGTCTCAGCTCTTGCTCTACTACCTCAGATGACAGCACATGGTCACAACAGACAAAACTGTTCACTACCAGTCATAAGAAACACATTTGTGAGAGAAATCATATTGATAATAGTAAAACATGTAGTAGGAAGACCAGAACAGTACACTGTAGGAGTAGTTTTAGGCCCTAACGCATCTACAGGCAGTCACCGCACACAGCTGCAGTTCTGAGTGCGGCATGGGCCGTGACATTGTTTCCACAAGGATTAATAAAAACTGCAGCTTTCCACCTACATTTACAGATGGAAAAAATGAATTCACCTGCACAGAAAGAATCGATGCCTCAGAATGGGAAAGCACAGAACTAGAAGAGAGAAGAAAACAGCATTCAGATTGGTAATTACTTTGTAATGAAGCAGAGACAGAAAAGCTTAAAGAGACTGTGGCAAGTAACGTAAAAGCCACTCTTTGTTTTATTAAGAAGAAGAGCACTCACAGACAGAAAGACCTTTAAAATAACAAAAGGCCAGGACAATTCCAATGAAAGCCACAATGCTGTGCTCATTTGGAAGCATTTACTACTAAAATCCTTTTAGCTCTCCAAATGTACAGAAATGTACAATACAAAACTGCCCACACATTATGAAAAATTACACTATATACTTTGTTGCAGCTACTGTAATGCCCTAGAATATTGTAAGGGAAGTGGGAATATTAGAATTTTGCACACGGACCTTTTTTACTTGGCACTGTCTCTTTAAAAAAAGAGCAACTGACTCAGATAACACCAGCAAAACCAAGGTGCACCATTCAGCAGCAAGAGTCAAGAAACCTAGGGGGCACAATGCCCAAGATGTTAAAAGCAAAAGGAAAAGCAATAGGGTAACTTCTTCTGACCGCTGTATTATGTCTCCTTTGACAAACATGTATCCAGCAATCCAAAGCACAGGGCAAAGTACTTTATACCCATAACAACAAATAGCCTGTCTACTTAAACTTCTCTGCACACGTACACCCAACAAAGAACACTGAGATGCATCTGCTGCAGTCAGCGTGGCAGACAATGATTCACAGAGCTGCTCAGCTCCTTACCTTCAGAAGCTCATCCTCGCCAGCATCAGGAAACTTGTCGTGCAGGGAGTCTTTCAGTACCTTGGCGATGAAACGCATCCCGTAACTTCAAAGGAAATAAAAGGCAAGTGAGAATTCCTCACGGATGAACCCACTATTAACTGCTGCAGGATAACGCGGTGACACACCAGACTTACGGGATTTTGTCAACTGAACCAACGATGGCAGACAGGAACTTGTCTGTCACTGCCTTCATATTTCGGATTGAGGCATCCAGGCGCGTCCTCACCTCGTCATGATTAAGAGCTTGTTCAGGTGTAACATCGTACGGCAACTTGCTATTTGGAAAAGTCAGATGTGAAGGTGAGAACTCCCCAGCCTAATATACTTTTGTCAGTGCCAGGCAGAATTTTTGGCTTGACACACAAACAGATCCACGCTCACCTGGCTGCAAAGAGCTGCACTCTTTCACTTTCATTAGAATGCTAGCACTGAAAGAGCAAAGGACTTCTCACGTCCTCTGCTGTCCCTGCAGCAGTCACTGCGAGAAAAGGCCCAGCTAACTCTAAACTGTATCTTTCTGTACCACATGCAGACACGCTCTCTAGAGTCAAGAAGGTCACCTGCGATACGCAGTAGTACCTCAGGTTGCAAATAAATCAGTGAAAACTGATTTTTTTAATTTAAATAAACTGATTTATTTATTTGTAAGCTGCACATTGCAGTGTTAAGATAGTAACTCACGCAGCGTGCTATGTTGTGAGAGTTGTCTTTTGCTTCATATAATTTTTTTTTCCTCCCCCTCCACTTCCCTTGAAGTGTGTTGAAAACAAAACAAACCAAAACCAATCAACAACAGAATCCTCAAAATCTGGTGAACATCAAGCACTGGAAGAAACACAGAACTCTGACTGGGGACGGATGGGAGCCGATCAAGAGTTTATAGATACAGATTAAAGAGAGGACAGGGACAGATGACACAGCGGGGGATCTACAGGCCAACCAACCAGGATGACCAAGTGGATGAAACCTTCTCATGGGCAGACGGGAACAGCTGCATGCTGTGATTCTATGAACATGGCCTGTGTTGAGAAGGACCACAAAGCTCATCTCATTCCAGCCCCTGCTGTGTGCAGGTTCACCAACCGCCAGCCCAGGCTGCCCAGAGCCACATCCAGCCAGGCCTTGAATGCCTCCAGGGATGGGGCATCCACAGCCTCCTTGGGCAGCCTGTTCCAGAGCAACTCCTTCAGAGATTAGCTTGGTAGAGTAACGCAGGATAAAGCCTTGGAAGGAATAAGGGCCCCAGAACACCTGTTGATATTCAAGGACCATCTCCTACAAACGCAGTAGTAATGCATACCAGCAAAAAGGACAAAAATGAGACAAAAATGCTAGGAGGCCTGCAAGCCTCCTGGACAAACTCAAACACAAGAAGAAAGACTACGGACATAAGAACAGCAAGCCCAGAAGTAATACAGAGAAAGTGTCTGAGAAGCCAGGGATAGCATTAGGAAAGGCAAAGCCCTGATCCAATTGAATCTGGACATGAATATTAAGGGCAATAACAAAAGCTTCTGTAAGTTCACACCAGTGATAAAAGGAAAACCAGGGAAAACATGAGCCCTTTCTAAAAGAGAAATGGAAGACTTGGTTACCTGGAATAAAGAGAGGGTTGAATTATTAAGGTTAGAAGATTAGAACCAAAAGAAACTGCAATGGTATGCTTATTCTCCAGGTTTTGTTCTCTTGCAAATAGAACCTATATCCCAGCTACACACAAAATGGAAAATGAACAAAGTTTGGCATGGAACTGATGGGTACTTTCTCTCTACGTGATACCTGCTAGCTTAGAAGACAAATCAATAATTATCTAAATCTATGAGCTAACACAAAAGAAATGTTTTCTGGGGTTCTTTTTTTTGGCCTATCTCCTAATGAGATTCACTTCTAATAGTCTCTACACCCCTGTCACAAGATGATCTTTATACCTTTCAGAAGAAAGCCATCTCGAGCTGATGGAAAAAAGCTGGTAGCAATTGGACAGATGCATGCAATGAATCCAGGGATGGTTTGGAACGATTAACAGAGCAATGCAGAACAGCTGAGCAACTTTTAGAAAAAAAACAGTAGCAACAGCTTCCATACCTGGCCTCACCAGTCTGAGATTCCATCTGGTTAACCCAGGACTTGTAAATATCCACTGGATCCGTTTTGATGTTGAGCGATTTGTCATCAATTATTTCCTTCACAACTGGGGCCAAGATCTGCCTCAGTGCGTTCTGACCACGGGCACCACGGTTGAAACTTACAACCATTTTAATGACAGTAGGATTCCCAGTCACAATTTCATGGATTTGGTCTACTTTTGATCTGAAGGAAGAATCAATATGAAGTATGAGGTATGCTTACGTCACCTTTAGACACAACATTATAGAATCACAAGGTTGCTGCTCAGCGTCACCCTTGGGGAACAAATAATAGATTGGTAATAAAATCTCACTACAGCAGTAACAAACAGCACTGGATGAGAACACAGGAGGCAAGGAGCACTACAGCCTCACTTGGGAAATCCAGCACCATTTGCCTGTGGACACCTCTGTAACAGGGCATGTCGATCCAGCTGTACATTCTGTTAAAGAGCGCATCTCAGAAATACAGAGGAAACAAAGGGAGTTCTACACAGGCACAACTATTTTCTTTCAGTATTTAAATAAGCAAATAAGCAATCAACAACAAAAGCCATCCACAGCACGCTGCTATGGGAAATCCAGCAGCAGAGAATAAAGCATATACAAGCATTTTCCTGAATCACTACTCCAAGAAAAAAAATAATAATAATTAAACAGATATTTTAGACATTACCTGTTTGAGGGCACATACCATCCTCATACTTAAAGGCACCAAAAAAGGCATGACTGCCTCCAACATTATATCTATTTGGTCTTCTTAGCAAGTTGTGAAGCTCTGTATCAGCCAGAAGTCATAAACACCAAACTCCTAAGTGCCAATCAACTAAATCATGCTTACAGACAGCCAGAATCCTTAAGTCTGACAGCCAGTAAAAAACCCAAACCAGACAGCATCTGATTTTCAGCCTCCTCATCAGTTTTCGAAAACAGTGACCTTCGCGTCAGCTTCGCTCTGGCCTGTAAAGCCCAAGCTCGCAGTCTGTTCGAAGTCCTTGTTACCAGACAGCAGAGAATTTAGATTGGACTGAACCTTAGGAAAGCACTGCATTAGATCAAAAATAGTGCCTCCCTGAGCAACAAAGCATTGGCTAAAGAAAAACGGCTTTAAGCCTAAAGAAAGTTAATTCCTCCATTCCAGATTACAGAAAGAACTAACGTGAAACAGCATGAGCAGAATGCAGGGACAGTTCAGCATTATCTGCAAATTAGCATGGGACATCACACAAGAACAGGTTCAATTTTAGCAGCAGTCCAAACTGAGGCAACAGCAAGGCTGTGTCCTATGCTACAACATACTTGATCTCCTCCTGCAATGCTGTTTGGAACAGCCGCAACAACAGATACTCCTCTCTCTGATTGGACGCATAGTTATACAGCGTGAAGATGACTGAATCCATGAACTTCGTGGATTTGTTTTGAGGCATCTGAAAAATCAGCTTGGCCAAGTATGTTGGGTTAGTCTAAAACAAGAAGGAAAACTACTTAGTGCACGTGTCCACAAAAGCCAACACCACAAAGACAGACAGTGCCTCAACACTGCAGTGCGTAAGTACAGACTGTTCCAATACACGTGAGCATCTATGACAAGAGGAGCGAAGGAAAAGCTGCATACCTGAAGTAAGTAGAAAAGATGCTGATAGGCTTCCAGCTTTTCCCTCTTCTCTTTGCTCAAAGCTTTCAAACCTCCCTTTTGCTTGTTCAGCATCATCATGTCAGAGAGCTGTTCCTTGTTCTTCTTGGTAAGCTTTTTGCTATGAGAAACAACATCCTGCAAAGAACACAGAGGGACAGATTCCACATACAAATAACACGCAATATGGGAAAAAGCTGCACATGATACTATTTCCTTAGATGTGGATAAGGCAGTCAAGGTACATCAGGAGATCATGAAGTGAAACATTCCGTTATAGCAGTGATTTCTGTTTTGTCCCCAAATTCCAGAATTGGTTGAGAACCTACAAGGACTAATTGCTTTGAGCAGGGACTACTGTCACAGCTGGTAGCGTTCTGAAGATGCTTGAAAATGCCTTTCTTTCTCAACTGTGCTTGAAGCCCCAAGCCCTGCTTCCATTTTGCTGACTCCCTGCCTCCACTGCTCTGATAACTATGATACTTTTTGCTGCCAGCATCAGCCCAAGAGCTGGAGCCTCCTTTGGAACTGAACTTTACTGCTGCCATGGTTCAGATTTTACACAAGGTCAAGCCTAGCGCCACGCTATTCAGGACCAAAGGAAAAGGTGACTGTAACTTCAGCTTGAGTTAAAAAAAGGCACCGCTGTATCAGCAACGTTGTTCTTGTGTGAAATCAATCGTCAGCAAAGTGACAGAGGGGGCTTCCATCAGCCAACCAACACCAAGCAGCCTGAGCACATTTCCTGCTCCAAAATCACCTCCCCCTTCTGATACAGCACACAAAACGTGAGAAATTAACGTGTGCAAGTCCGTGACTCATGTAACCACAAGTGAACAGACAAACAGTTCTCAGAGCCTTCAAGCATACAATCTATTGCTTTCCCTTAGTCCGGAGTGGGTTCTTCTCTGGTGTTCTGTTTTTAAAACGCTTGAAGTCTTGATGTTTCTTCTGCAGTTATCTTTCTAGGGATACATAGTAATAAGTGGAACAGTTAGGAACTTACTGGGAGGAAAACCTGTAACTCTGGAGGAAATATTTCCCACTGAATCTGAGTAAGTGAGATCCAGGCTCAGAAGGTCCTCATGCTAACTACCATTGGCCTCAATTCACTCTGCTAGTCTCCCAGCACTGCATTTCCTACCTGCAGTGTAATTTTGTTCTTCACTAGCAGTCCAATCTTGATGTCCATGAGATTGAGGTCATTTTCAAGCTGTTGATTAGATCGGATCAAGGTCACAACTTCCTCACGCAGTTTCATTAGCTCCAGCTCCTCCTGAAAATCTTGGTCACTCTGATCAAGCAAGTGAACAAATTTCCGAACCACAGCCATAGGTGGGTTTTCAGCATTAACTAAAAACAAGAGACAAAACAGCAGAGGACAGGAAACAAATTAATGCATGTGTTATCTCTGTGCAGACAGCATGTCAAGCAGCAGCCAGTCCAGGATAAAATTAACACCAACACGCTTGAATAACTCCTGACAGCATCCAGAACTTCTTGTATGGAAGAAATCACAACAGAAGTCAACACTATAGAATGAAGTATCAGCTTAGGGGAGTCCACCTTGCTGAACTTACCCCAAAGATCAGCGCTCCTATTTCCCAGCAGCAAAAGTACTACCGTGAACCAACGTTGCACAGAATCACAGAATGTCAGGAATTGGAAGGGACCTCCAAAGATCACCTCGTCCAATCCCCCTGCTGGAGCAGGATCACCTAGATTAGGGCACACAGGAACATGTCCAGGTAGCTGCTGAATGTCTCCACAGGAGATCCCACAACCTCTTTGGGCAGCCCATCCCAGTGTTCTGTTACCCTTGCCGTGAAGAAGTTTTTCCTCTTATTTATGCGGGACCTCCTATGCTCCAGCTTGCACACATTGCCCCTTGTCCTATCACTGGATGTCACTGAGAAGAGCGTGCCTTCGTCCTCCTCACACTCACCATTCACACATTTATAAACATCAACGAGGTCACCCCCCTGTCTCCTCCAAGCTAAACAGACCCAGCTTCCTCAGCCTTTCCTCATAGAGAGATGCTCCATTCATCAGGGCAGAGTAGAGCGGAAAGAGAACCTCTCGACCTCCTATCCATACTCTTTCTCATACACCCCACGATGCCCTCCTGGCCACGAGAGCACAGTGCTGGCTCATGCTGCTCCTACCACCCACCAGGATCCCCCGATCCCTTTCTCCTACAGTGCTCTCCAACAGGTCAGCCCCCAACCTATACTGGTACCCAGGCTGCTCTTGCCCAGATGCAAGACTCTACACCTGCCCTTGTTCTTTTTCATTCCGTTTCCCCCACCCAACTCTCCAGGTCTAGCTGGAAGGTAGCACAGCCTTTTGCTGTGCCAGCCAATCTGCCCAGTTTTGTGCCACAGAATCACAGAATTGTAGGGGTTGGAAGGGACCTCCAGAGCTCATCGAGTCCAACCCCCCTGCCAAAGCAGGTTCCCTACAGCAGGTCGCACAGGTAGGCATCCAGGCAGGTCTTGAACATCTCCAGAGAAGGAGACTCCACCACCTCCCTGGGCAGCCTGTTCCAGTGCTCCGTCACCCTCACTGTAAGGAAGTTCTTGCGCATGTTTGTGCGGAACTTCCTATGCTGCAGTTTCCAGCTGTTTCCCCTTGTCCTGTCTCCACTCACCACTGAAAACAGTCCGGCCTTGCCATTCTGCCCCCCACACCTTAGATATTTCTAGACCTGGATCAGGTCCCCTCTCAGTCTTCTTTTCTCAAGGCTGAACAGACCCAGTTCACTCAGCCTTTCTTCATAGGAGAGATGCTCCAGGCCTTTCACCATCTTCGTGGCCCTCCGCTGGACTCTTTCCAAGAGATCCCTGTCTTTTTTGTACTGGGAAGCCCAGAACTGGACATAGTACTCCAGATGAGGCCTTACCAGGGCAGAGTAGAGGGGGAGGATCACCTCCCTCGACCTGCTGGCCACGCTCTTTTTAATGCACCCCAGAAATGTCATCAGCAAACTTGCTGACAGCGCATTCCACTCCCTCAGCCAGAGGGAATTCTTCCTTTAGCCACCTACCTACCTACCTACTCTTTGCACCACTTCACCCCAACTGATTTTCATAACTGTCTTCATGTTGCAGATCTCACTAACAGTATTTTTCTGCAAATAGAGATTCAAAGCATATTAGCTTTATTCTTTTGGCCACACTTACTGAGGGTTTTGTAGTCTTCTCTTGCTTTGTTTGCTCGGATAAAAGCTTGAATTTTTATAACGTCATTTATCTAGAATGGGAAAAAAAAAAAATCCAGCCACTTAAACTTGTTAAGGGAAGAGTTAAAAAAAAAAAAAAAAGTGTCAGATACTGAATTCATTTCACAATCTCTTACGTGGTCTCTGAAATATTGCAGGCGATCTCTGTAACGCCTTCTGGCTTGATACATCCTGGTCAGTGACTGAATCTATAGGAAAGAATTCCAAAGCAGGTCAGATAAAAGTCTTTTCCACAAATATTGCTTCCAAAAATGTGAACAAAAAACAAAAAAAAAAAACAAACAAACAAAAAAAAAAAAACAAAAAAAAAAAATCAAGAGAGCCTTTGCTACCTTCACTACTTGGTCCTTGTGTGCTCGTAAGTAATCCAAACGGATTTGATATGCCTTCCTCTGTTTATAGCCACGCCACTGGGACTGAAAACACACACAAGGAAAAGGGGAACTTTTCAAATTGAAAAGCAGTAATTTAATATTCTATGCCTCTTTCTGCTGCTCAGTTTCCACTTCCCTTCGGCTGAATAAAACGTAACAGAGACATGCTCATCTTACAAGATATATGCAGGAAAAGATATGCAGTGAAGTCTTAACTATTTCTTCCACCACCAGCTGTCATTGTGAGGAACTTAGCAGCACCCCACACTAAGAGCGTGGGCCTTCAGAAACACAGCTAGAGAACAAATGTTTAACTAAACAACCAAATTCACATCCATTTCACAATTCGCAATTCCATCGTCAATTCTCCAAACCCACGGACAAATGGGAAGAGGAAGGGAAGTAATTTATACATAGTGATTCTCAGGGAGAAGGAAATGCCTTTCAGTACTTTGCAAAATGAAGATAATTGTGCATGGCAACTGTTTGAGTTGAACAAAACCAGCTTTCAATAAGCGTGCGTGTGGAGAGCAACTGACAAGTACAAGTTTCAAACAGAATTAGGGGATTTCACACCTGGATGCAAGTGATGGCTGGAACTTGTTTCTTCAAAAAACTCATTCTGGAGTTGAATTCCTGACGAACAAGATAGCCTCGACAACAAGCCTGAAGCTTCACAATCAGGTTCTCATTGGCCAGCCACAACTGCTCTCGGTTGTATGCTGCCGTGACTCCAGATATAGTGCTCTAGATTAGTGTTATGGTAGGAAGAAGAGCCAGGAAGAGAAAAGGGAGATGCAAAAATGACATGTTACACAG